TGGAAAGAGAGAGCTGAAAACTAGTATAAGTTGTGGTCAGCTTTTTAGGTTTGATGGCTAAAATATGAAGATATATATAGATATAGATGAATATGATAAATATGAAGATATATGTGCGTACCAGGAAAAGGGTCATTTTCCATGATAGCAGGGTTGGCTAACTGTTGCAGCAGAGAATGTCTGAAGAGTCACGCAAGTGGAAAGTAAGAATGAGTTGACAAGGGGAAAAGGTCCGGCCGCTGAGGGTGGAGGAGGAGCCAGGCTCAGTGGCGGGCTCTCGCCCCAGGCGCTAACGGACATGACTGCAGCGTCCCCCAACTGTGTCCAGCTGCCCTGGAGCAGGAAGAGCAGGGGAGGGTGGGCGGAGAGAGGAGATGGGTAGCTGCGCTCATCATCCGAAGGGTTGGGATTGCTCCAGAAACTAACTACTGAGAACATTCTTATGTATTCAGATACACGCACACACACTTTGTGTATCTGTTCTCCAAATTAAAATTTTATACGACGTACTTCTCCATCGTTTTGACAGCTGCCTGTCTTGTCTGGCTCTTTTCAGTGTTTCCTGCGCTCTCGTACAAAGGAGACTGGCAGCATTACCAGCAGTATCTATCGCAGAGCGCAGGGAGGCCTTCAGGCAGCGGCCTGCCATATACAAATGTCATGACACTCATGAGCCATGCGACCTTGGGCAAGGCTCACAGTGACACAGGGAGAAAAACTGATCACGGGTGGGTGACCTCCAAATGATACAAGGAACCTCCAAGTGACATAGGGAGAAATGATCTCCCGGCCTGACCTGCATGACCTTCGTTTCTCTACAACCGAAGAATGAGTTGTAGGAACAAACAGAGGTTATGAGCAGAATATATTTATTGACGGAAAGAAAGCTCCTGTCCAAGAGACGGACAGGAGGGGGACCGGAGTGGGTTTTCGCCCAGAAGCTGTCTCTTCCAGGGACTTTTATAGTGTAAAATCATGTGGGGTAAGGTGGAGAGAATGGGAACTCGCTTAGGTGGATGTAGGGTGGGACAAAACTATGGTCAACCAATGAGGTTATAAGCACCATTGCTCAGATAAAATTGATGAAGTCTGGGACTAAAGGGGGAAGGGAGTCAAGTAGTGAGGGGGCATGAATGTAAAACGGGAGCTTATCTGGTAGCCATCAGATAAGGATTCTTTTTGGCTTTCTCAGGGTAATGATCAATCTGGGATGCCAATCTTTAGGGAGGTTAGCATTTGTTTGGTCTTTGGTTCACAGCAGGAGCATCAGTCCCTCCCACAGTT